TTCTTTAGAGTTACCTGTAATATTGGCTGACGACATGAGTTGTAAATTTCGGCAGTTTGCGCGTCTCAGGTCACTGATCCACATCATTTAGGATGGACATGAAGAAGAAATCTCTGTGGAAGTTTATTTATGAGGTTTCTATGTTTTTGGCATGGCAAAACGAGGTGCGTTCTATGAAATGCACAACTGCTTCCTACGTGGCACATGTGTGAACTGCTATTCAGAATAAACTATTTTTTATCATACTTCCTTCCACTTTCAATCGTCCGTGGAAAGCACGATTTGCAGATTAAGGAGGACTGCCTTGTTGTTTTCTATTACAGCGTTTTTTTTACTTTTCTGCAATTAGAATAAAGTCTGTCCAGTGTTGTACAGCTTTCGCTGGACGTTTGTTTAATTGGGCAATCCTAGATGACAGCGACTTACCGTTGTTATGCGCATAAAGGTTCTTGCGGACATTGTTAAATCATGTCGACATAGAATGGAAGAAACCCGCTGATGCATATCATCATTATCTCGTTAACTGGCCGGTTCAAAGTTTATTACAGACAGTCACTGATGCTGTGACGTTTGAGGCAGGCACGCTCCCACTTTCCTCGTTCTTTTACATCGATAACGTTGACGATAGACTTAACTCTGAAGCGAGGTCTCTACTTTGTTCTTTATAGTGGTGTTCCAGCTGAAATGATGCCAATCAGAGTACATTTCACACTTACAGTTTCGTAAGCAGTCGATTTGTTCCCTATTTAATAGTTTTTTCCTCCTAGATCAGGGTTGTATATATATAAAGCGTTCGGATTCTGAATCGGGAGGTTCCGGATTCGACCCTTGATCGAATGACTCATCTTTCTTTATTCCAAAGTTGATTAATGAGTCAAGCTTCGTGGAAGGCGAACATGAGACTGTAACTTACAGCCGTAAACTTAATGAAAAGGAGGGCATCCCTATGACTTCCGGTCGTTAAAATTTGAGGGACGTGTCCCATACACGCAAATGTTAGCCATCTTCTGACCCAGTATCTCGTAAAGTCAGTCACTTCAATGTTACCCAAGTCGTAGCTAATCAGAAAGCTGAATGATGTGTGTATGATTTGGTCAATTCCTTTGCAGTGTGTTTGCGTTGAAAGTTCTAGTATGTATTTGTGCCTGTTGTTTCTTTGAGGCTGTGTTATCATACCAGCGAACGCCTTAAATTGTTGAGCTGTTGGCACGATGTGCGACATTTCAGTGAAGTCCTGATATAAAATTGTTCTTTTAGAATATTGATACCCTCAACGAGTTACAGAGCAACATTCGTGCAGATGAAATGCCACCTGTGAATGCGGACTTCAGCCGTATTGAGGAAGATATGGAAGACGCATATGAACACGAGTTTGCGGCAGGAACATCCTCCTGCAGTGAACTGAAACAAAAAAAAGTGTTGCAGAGTAGCCTACTTGTCAGCGACAGCGGAAAAGCTGGATCTGATGTTAATGCAGCGCAGTTTCATACCTATGGCTCGCATGATCTACCATTTAAAACTGAAGATGATATTGAGGACAGTGAACTAATCGAATCTAGCACTGATTCAGATTCCTCCGTCGCCGAGAGTTCAGGAAATGAGACTGGACGAGGCAAACAGAAGTGCTTGAGAGGAGAAGTCATGTTTAACGGAGAGCTCGCTCTGTCTGAAACTTCTGAATCCAGCGATTCTGACTAGTCTTAAATGAAGCACACAAAATCTGTTAGAATGTCATGAATGTACCTCTGAACTCCATATATTGCGTTGAAATGCGATATGCGTTGATTTATTGTTTTTTTGTTGTGAAATATGGTAATGTAGTATTTCTTCAGTAAAGTTAATTGTTCTTTTGTGTTGGAGTGTTATTGTACCGGTAGAATTTTTGCTTTGTCATATGAAATTCTTTCTAAATTTTATATTAGTTCTTTGTGTTACCTAATTAGTCTTGTTTTTCACAGGCAGTGCATGGATAAAGTGAGCAGAAAGTTAGAGAGGGTGACCGCACTTCTGCATCGTCACGACCCGGCGGTCATTGTCTCGGAAGCAAAAACGAAGGCAAGTTGTTCGGTCGATAAACTCTGATTTGTGTAGCGGTGATGAGATATGGCATTTCAAATGACACTTTTGATCGTAGCGGTTATCAAACTTCAGAGGCGTAACTGCGTTTTTGAATGTGAAGGTAACGTGTAAATAAACAAGATACAGAAATACGAGAAGTGTGCAAGTGCTCTCACTATTCCTGAGAGTATGCGAACGAAGTTTTACCTGCTTCCTTGATCTGACAGAACCTTGCGACAGGGTGCCCCGTTCTAAGCTGTAAAGATGGTTGCAGAAATTTTGGTGTAGAAAGTCGACAGGGACAGCAATGGAATTCCACCAGATCATTGTTTAACT